AGTCTGAACTTTGCCAGTTGCACACTTCTGATTTAGTTCACCATGTTCCTGTTTTCTGTATTCCTTACAAATTGGCAGAGGCTTATCTAGACTTGGTTTTAATAATTCAGCAAAATTATAGGCCAAGCGGTATTCTTTTACCAGAGGCACATAATATTTACTTCTCTTTCTTTATGCAGTCATAGCAGCTATTAATTCTTGCTGCCTGGATCCACTCATTCATTATAGGTTGCAAAATGGTGACATTCTGATTCTAGATTTTCTTTTTTCATTTAAAGCTGAAATGTTATACGGAGATGCTTCCCTCATTTATTATTTAGTTCCCCCATAAGAGAGTTTACAAAGAACAGGTATGTTGGGTGCTTGATTCTCTCCCTTTATTTGCCAGATGTCAAGATAATGATTTTTTTCCATATTATTCTCCAAAGTTAACCAATTAATTTTTTGAATTTCATTATTAAAAAATATGTATCATCACAAACTCAAAAATTTAAACAATTACAATGATTACCTTTTTGAGGATGCAAATTGTCCCATATTTGGCCAGTGGTAGCTTCTTCAAGTTGGTTCCTGAGTCTTTTTTGACACAGCACTAGGAGTTGTTGATAACTTTCTTGCCATCTACTCTGAAAAACTATCCAGGCTCATGGTGTTCATTTTCTGCCCCAGATCTGGAATTAAGTGTTTCTCCAGGAAGCCTTGGTTCCTTTTAGAGTGAAATTATATTCTAAAATAAACCACAGTTTTGGGGCCAGGGATGCTCAGTGCTACTGGATTAGTCATTGAAGTAGTTAGCCACTCTCCAGGTTTTAGCTGGACTATTTAATTGGCCTATGTTGTTGTTGTTGTTGTTATGTGCCATTGAGTCAGACCCAACTCATAGCGACCCCTCCTTGGGTTTCTGAGGCAGTATCACTACAGAGTTAGATTGCCCAACCTTCCTTCTGAGGAGTGGCTGGCAAGTTTGAACCGCCAGCCTTCTGGTTAGCAGTCAAGTGCCTTAGGCACTATGCTACCAGAGCTCCCAATTGGCCTATAGTGCCTTCCATTCTGTTGGCCATACTGTGAATCTCCTGTTCTCAGAAGAGCCCCTTACTTCCTTATATTTTCTCTCCCACAGATACCAATACCACACAGGTCTTGGTGGTTTTTCTTTATTTGCTTGTGGGGATATTTTGTCATCTAATATTGTTGTAAATGTTGTACATGAGTATTTAGTTTTGATATGTAGTTTTGGAAAGATTCAAAAGTTGTGCCACTACAACCATTTCCCCAAAATTCCTGCATAGTAAAAATAATTTATTAAGCATTTCCTATGTGCCTGATTTGTGTAAAATGCATAGAGGTTATCTCATTGCATCCTCAAAACAATTTTATTAGGTAAATAGTACTGTTATTCTCATTTTAGGGATTTACTCAAATCCTGTAAGGTAATAATTGTTGGACCTGGGATTTAAACTTAGACTGTCTAACTCCAGAACCTCTGCTATGAACAATTCTAAACTATATGCCTGTTGAAAAAGAAAATACTTAACCTTTGGAGCTGTCCAACAGCTACTTTGACAGCCTTATGAAACATTAAGCTGAAAACTTCCATAGAACACTTGAATAATCATTATAAGGGGATTCTGTTTTAAATGGATTTCTAAACTTGAAGAAAATTGGGCTGTTTTTGTTAGGTGATTCTGTGTACATTAGAATGAAACACTGCCAGTCCTACACCATCATCACAATCATTGCCATGTTGCCAATTGTTGCAGCCCCTGTGTCAGTCCATCTCATTGAGGGTCTTCCTCTTTTTCACTGACCCTCTACTTTACTAAGCATAATGTTCTTCTCCAGGGACTGGTCCTTCCTGATAACATGTATAAAGTACATGAGGTGAAATCTCTCCATCTCTGCTTCCAAGGAGCATTCTGGCTGTACTTCTTCCAAGACATATTTGTTTGTTCTTCTGGCAATCCATGGTAGATAGTCTTCTTCAACATTACAATTCAAATGCATCAGTTCTTTGGTCTTCCTTATTCATTGTGCAGCTTTCACATACATATTAAGAAAACCAAACTCACTGGCATCGAGTTGGATCCAACTCACAGTGACCCCTCCTTGGGTTTCCGTGACAGTATGACTACGAAAGTAGACTGCCCAACCTTCCTACCAAGGAGTGGCTGATGGGTTTGAACCACCAGGCTTCTTGTTAGCAGTCAAATGCCTTAGGCACGCCACCACCAGCGATTGAAAATACCATAGCTTGGATCAAGATCACCTTAGTCCTCAAGGGGACATCTTTGTTTTTTAAGGAAGTCTTTTACAGCATATTTGCCCAATGCAATACATCAATTGATTTTTTTAACTGCTGCTTTCATGATTGTTGATTGTGGATCCAAGCAAAATGAATCTTTGACAATGGCAATATTTTCTTCATTTATCATTATGCTGTTTAATAATCTCCTTGTGAGAATTTTTGTTTTCTTTGTGTTGAGGTGTAATCCATACCAAAGCTGTAGTTTTTGATCTTCATCAATAAGTGCTTCAAGTCCACTTCATATTCAGCAAGCAGTGTTGTTTCATCTGTATATCACAGTGTTATCCATAAATTGTTATGATCTGCATGGTTAGATGCCTTTGCATAATCAATAAAACACAAGAAAAAAATCTTTCTGGTATTCTCTGCTTTTAGCCTACATCCATTTGACATCAAGAATGATATCCATCATTCCACATCCTCTTCTGAGTATGGCTTGAATCTCTGGCAGTTCCCTGTCCATGCACTACAACAAGTGTGTTTTGAAATACCTTCAGAAAAATTTTACTTTTGTGTAATATTAAGGATATTGTTCTATAATATCCACATTCCGTAGGATCACCTTTCTTTGAAATAGGCACAAATATGAATGTCTTCTAGTCAGTTGCCCATATAGCTTTTTTTCTAAATTTCTGGGCATAGATAAGTGAGTGCTTCCAGCTTTGTATCACTTATGGTTTTCTAACAATTGTATCCATTGGTCAAAGCATCTCAATTGATATTCCATCAATTCCTGGAGCCTTGCTTATTGCCAGTCCCTTAAGTGCGGCTTGGACTTCTTCCTTCAGTGCCATTGATTCTTGATCATATGCTCCTTCCTGAAATGGTTGAATGTCTACCATTCTTTTTGATACAGTGATTTTGAGTATAACTTCCATCTTCTTTTGATGCTTCCCAAATAGTTCAATATTTTGTCCATGTTGTTGTTGTTGTTGTTGTTGTTGTTGTTGTTATGTGCCATGGAGTCGGACCCGACTCATGACAACCCCTCCTTGGGTTTCTGAGGCAGTATCACTATGGAAGTAGATTTCCCTATCTTCCTTCCGAGGAGTAGCTGGTGGGTTTGAATCTCTGGCGTTCTGGTTAGCAGTCAAGTGCCCATAGAATCACTCAATATTTTTCCCATAGAATCCTTCAATATTGCAACTCAAGGTTTGATTTTTTTCTTCAGTTCTTTCAGCTTGAGAAATGCCAAGCTTCCCTTTTGGATTTCTAACTCCAGGTGTTTGCATGTTTCATTATAGTACTTTATTTTCTCAATCCACCCCTTCAGATTTTCTGTTTAACAAGTTTCTGAGTCTCTTCTGAAGCAGCATTTTCAGAGTCTCCTCTGACATCCAATTTGGTCTTCTCTTCCTTTCTCATCTTTTTAAGGGCCTTTTGCTTTTTTCATATATGCTGTCCTTGAAGTAATTCCACAACTCATCTGATCTTAGGTCATTAGTGTTGAGTGCATCAAATGTTATTTTTGATTTATAAATTAAGATGGGATATACTAAAGGTTGTACTTTGGCTGTATGGACTTGTTTTAATTTTCTTCAGCTTCCACTTGAACTTGCATAAGAGCAATTGATAGTTTGTTCTGCACTTGGCCTCTGGCCTTGTCCCAACTGATGATATTGAGCTTTACCATAATCTCTTTCCACAGATGTAGTCTATTTAATTTGTGTGTATTCCATTCAGTGAGATCCATGTGTATAATCACCATTTATGTTGTTGAAAAGGTATTTGCAGTGAATAAGTCATTGGTCTTACAAAATTCTATCATGAGGTCTCCAGTGTCATTTCTATCACCAAGACCATAGTTCCCAACTACCGATCCTTCTTTGTTTCCAACTTTTGCATTCCAATCACCAGTCATTATCCCTGTTGACTTGATTACCTGTTTGCTGAGTTGGACTAAGGGACCTTAATGATTCTTTTTGGGCTTTCTTTCTTTTATATCCTCGTAAGAAAGTCAAACCCACCAGCCACTCCTCGGAAGGAAGGTTGGGCAATCCTACTTCCGTAGTGATACTGCCTCGGAAACCCAAGGAGGGGTCGCTATGAGTCAGGACTGACTCGACGGCACATAACAACAACAACAACAACAAGAAAGGTTACTTTAGAAGTAAAAGGAACAAACAAGAAAATTATTCATGCCTCGATATAACCAATGTGTTTGATACAGAAATCGCCATCTCATGATATAACTATTTTTTTCTTCTGGGTAATCTTTTTTTTTTTTTTTGCCTCATAGTTCTTCATGGAAAAGATGATAGCAAAATTCCATAGCATTTGCATCTTGCATTTGTAATATCAATTTGTATTTAAAAGGTGCAAATATATACTATTATTTTAAATATCTCTTTTTAAATAAATGTACAAGGTGGGTTTGGTTTTTATACTTTCTCAATCTACACACTTAGATAAGAATTCTCTAATTATCAGTGTTCCCACTGATGTTTTGTAATTAACTTCTAATGTCCTGGTTTACTTCATGTTCTATTGTAGACATGACCTATCATTTTTGAAAGTGTGCCACTAAAAAATGGTAATCACCTCTAGGAATATCATTTAAGTTTCTTTATTCTAATCAGTTTATATCATATGAACCTAAATTACAGTTGGATATTCTTTTCAAGTTTTTATAATCAGCAATATTTTATCAAACAGCAGGTTTATTTTGTCATTGCTTTTTATTCTTCTTAAATAGAGCTACCTCATATTAATGGATCTGAAGAGCCTGAAGAAATATCAGTGATTGTTAATAATCCACTTGAACTTACCTGCATTTCTTCTGGAATCCCAACTCCTAAAATTATGTGGATGAAAGATGGACGGCCCCTTCCACAAATGGATCAGGTGCAAACTCTAGGAAGAGGAGAGGCTCTTCAAATATCCAGTGCTCAGGTAAGTACCAAAGTTCATACAGTTGGCTTTATCCTAGATTAAGTTTCTCACTGGATAATATTTGATAAATGTTAGAGGAATTATGTCATTAGAGCTGAGTATATTGCAGACCTGTGTAACTGTAGCAAATGTTTATTGATTCTATCATATGCACAATGGGGTAGATACTTACAGGGTAACAGGACTAAAAGGAAGCCAGAGGTGTTATCTCATTAAATTCTGAACAGGGCAAGATATCTGCACATTAACTCTTGCAAGTTTTCTCAGTGCTATAAACATTAATATGTAGCCCTTTACTGAACTGGCATAAAGCAATCCAATATACATATAAATTGAGTCTTCAAATAGCATTTTGTTTCCCAAAATGAGCTAGCAGACATTAAAATCTGATAAACAATGATAAATAAAATTTACTGGTTCTTTTAATTCACATTTAAGGAAGTTGATCTGAAGTAGGAATAGATTAGAGAAAAGTCTATTTGGAAATTACTTATTGTAAGAATCCTCTGTTCTAATAACAAAGGCAAACTCTTATTACAAACATTTTCTGTCTTTGCCCTAATGCCCTCATGTATAAACTGGGGATGAAATAATAAATAACTACTTCATACAGTTGAGGGTTTAGTGAGATAATCTAACATAAAGTACATAAATTATTGCTACTCCTATTGTTATTATCTTTATAATCCCTCTCAATATAGAACAACAAAATTAGGTAATCATATGCTATTTGCATCTTCAATGAGAAAAGAAGAAGGAAAGGGAAATTGGAAGAAGAGAACTAATGATTATAAATTGTCTATTGTCATTCATGTGTTAAGCACTGGGCTCTCTATCACAGTCAACTGTGAGGCAGTGTAATTATCCCCATTCTACAAATGCAAAATAGGCACAGAGAGATTCAATACTGGCCACCAAGTACTCACCTCTGCTCAGGAATGGAGAGGAGACTCAAGCTTGGGTCTGGCTCAAAAACCCAGGCAGTGAAACTCAGTGCAGCTTTTGTTTCTAATGTCAAAGAACACATGCCTTTCTTTTCCCTTTTCCACATATGAAACATCACAATAACTCAGAGAAAAGCCAGGTTAAACTATCAAACAACTTACTAATTCAAAACTCTGGGGTGATATATTTTCAGCTGATAAGAAATTATGCAAACGAATGTTATGGCACAGCATGGAGACAAGGGAGTGTGTGGAATAGAAGCATAAATACACTGGAGTGATAGTAAATAGAAAAGGATCCCTGGTGGTGCAGTGGTTAAACATCAGCTGTTAATTAAAGGTCCGTGGTTCAAACCCACCTACTGCTCAGTGGGTGAAAAGTCCTGGTGATCTACTCCTGTAAAGATAACAGCATAGAAAACCTTAGGGAATGGTTCTACTCTGTCAAATATAGGGTCAATGTGAGTCAGAATGGACTTGATGGCACACAACAGCAACAATAATGGTAAGTAGATCTTGAAAGAGGTTTAGACCACAACACAATAGGTCTGAATGCAGTGTTTCCTTACAACAAGGTTCCATGTATAGTTAACTGGTGACATTCTGCAGAATGATATTGTAGAGAAAGAAGGGGCTTGAATTCAATTTTGTAAAAATTTGTTAGGAGCTCTGGTAGCATAGTGCCTAAGGCACTTGACTGCTAACCAGAAGGCTGGCGGTTCAAACCCACCAGCCACTCCTCGGAAGGAAG